CTTTGGGATCAGATCTTAAACGGAGAAACACTGGCATCGAAGAAAATTCAAGGAAGCGGCCTTCATAATGATGAATGAAAACGTTTGCAGTAATCCAAGTAAGGAAACTAAACCTGGAGCTCAACCAACCGGTTCAACGGTATAAATAGTCAAGAAAGGTGCTTGTTCGCCAGATCACCTGCTGAAGTTTGAAAATCACATCAATCGAAACGTCGTGAATAAAAAAACCTTATAGGCAATGGAAGTCCGAGAAAAAACATCATTGTTCTAACTGGGTCATATCTATTCATACTCCCACCAGTGGCTCCGACATCTTAAGAAATAAGCTTACTTAGAGAAATATATTCCAAGTCTTCCACTTGGAGCAAAACTTCAAGGGTATTGCAATTGCAGGAAATCTGCACAAAACGTGCTTAACAGTTTTGTCCTCCATACACAATCTGCACTCAGCGTTTTCTTCAAAAAACAAACTGTGAGTCTGTTATAGTCGTTGTTGTAACTGGTATGGTTGCCCTAGCATGGGTTGACCTTGTTAGCATCTTTCATGTGTTCATAGATCTTTCCGTGCTTTTCTGCAGATATTCTTTATTTAGCCATAGTGTACGCGATCCCGATCGCCCGCCCGACCGCTCTATGAACTATGCAGCTCCTGGTATCCATATCACTCGGACCTTATTGCCATCCCCGATACTTCTTTACCATTCCACACCGATTCCGCTGAACAGTAGGTGGAGTCAAATGCTTTATGCGCAATTTGACCATTTGAAAATAGATTTATAGTCATGCGCCTTTGTTGATTCGGCAATCACTCTTGAAACACATTTCTCTAGCATTTTTGCCTGAAAAAGCTGGCTCAGGAACTCAGGCTGACTGATTCATCATTTCGTCTCGCAAGAATATACCAGCCTCAACACCCGTTTTGGTCTTAGGGCCGTATCGTCAGTCGTTCATACAATTGTAGGACGCCTTCATGACTTCCTTGATTTTCATAGTCTTTTCTCTCCTTCAGAAAGGCTTGGGATATTTCTAGATTTTTATAGTCAACGCCAAACAAAGTGGCGTGCACGTCATCAAGGTGGGTGTGTTGAAAAATTTACATTGTTGCCAAACTTTTTGTAAAATAATAAAATTTATTATTTACATATCTAGGTTTATAAGCAATATTAACCTCAAATGAGAACAAAAATAATAGTATAATAAAATTATAGATCTGTACTTGCATAATATTAAGTATGACAATTATTGATCAGATGACACTATGAAACTACCATATTTAATTGATAGCTTAAAGGTACTGAATAAAAATCCAAATGGGGTCCTCCAAATTTTATGCATGGTATTTATTTTACAGAATTCATACAGAAAAATGCATTCTAAAATTAGGTAAGCTACTGGTGTAAGCTTTTTCTGTACAATAAAGTTAGTCGGAGTTTCTTTCTTCAGCGCTGTCTGAATCTGAATCTTCATCACTCTCAAAGTTGATTATTAAAGGTTCGATGTCTGGTCGATCAAAAATTCGTTCTCTTTCATACCATTTAAAAATTTCTTGCTCAGTATGTCGAACACTATTTTTCCACATGTCTGGGGTAACCGTTTGTAGAGCCTCGTTCCACATATCCAAACAGTCTTTTTCACTGTTACCATCTCTACCAATATGTCTGTTATAGTAACCTTTTGCTATGCCCCAAATTAACTCAATAGGGTTAAATATACAATGGTAAGGAGGCAGACGAAGAACTTTGTGCCCATGTTGTTCCGCCAATTCATCAATCACGTATATTTTAGGTGGTTTGTTTCTAAAAAAGCAGTTATTTTAAGAATAGGAATAAACAAAAGAAATATAAACTGTCGACCAAAATATATATAATTAAGAAGCATTATGTACCGAGCAACAATACTCAATAGCTCTGTTTTAAACATTGTGTTTAAAAATGGTATGTTTTGATTTGTCAACCAGTCTTGGATATTTTTTTTTGTCCATGCATTGTTGGGCACTTTGTTCAATATCATGCTGTGATAAGGGGCGTTATCCAGTATAATCATAGATGGACTCTCCAATTTTTCTAATAACTGATGTTGAAACCATTTCCAAAAATTGTCCTGGTTCATCTCTCCATGGTAATCGCTCAATTTTGTTTTCGAAGAAAATATCGCTTCACTACCCTCAATAAACCCATTTTCATTTCCAGCATGTAATATAATGTATCTAAAATATATTAGTTTTAAATTTTATAGTGCAAATTGTGTAAAAGTACATACCTTTTACCATCTGTGTTAATAGCTTTCACGCTTTTTTGGTTTCCATTTTGCCAAGAGCGACCTATGGTCCCATTTTGAAATATCCAAGTTTCATCGAGGAAGACAAACTGGTATAAGGCCTCAACCTTGGCTTGATTGTATTGCCTTAGAAATTCCACCCTTTTCAAAGCTATACTTGGTAGTTCCATGAGCCCTCGTCGCGGATTGTCCTTAAGCCACTTAAATCCAAGATCTCTAAGCAACCGCCTTAAAGACGTGGCACTACCATCAAATAATGCCCTATCTCTTAATCGAGACCATAAAGTTTGTATCGTAACTTGTTCTTCTGAAACCATGTGTAATATGACATTATAATTTAGTTAACAAATTAATGCAAATTTCTGATAAGTTATTATAATAAGATCTTACTTTTGTGATACATATTATAGATCACTTCTCGAATGGCACTTGTATCCAATGTCGCTGTGTTGGTTACACGTTTAATATAACTCCGCTTTTTCTTGGGCGATTCTAAATTTGCATCACTTTTCACACCCTCGGAAATACGACTAACTGTCCTTAAACTAATTTTTAAAGCAGCAGCAACACGCTACAAAAAATGAAATAAAATTTCACTATTATTAATATACATTACATATAATTATTAGTAACCTACCTCTTGAACAGCATTTAAAGGCAACAAAGGCCCGTTGTTGTCCCTTTCTTGCTCAAAGTAGTGCATTAACGAGGCCACGAGTTCCTTACACCGACTATTTAACTGTTTGGGCATCTTTATATACCAAAATTGCCTTTATCTACTCGTAAAATGAATAATTTTGTTTTGAAACAAATAGTTGTTGATTTACAGTATGCGGGGCCAAAGGATTTATAAAGATTTGAAATGTCACAAATTGATTCAGTGTCAAAATTAATACAAATGTCAGTTCCCAGTTTAAATAAGCTTCAAGGTGACAATGTGTCAACGCTGCGAAATCGGTTTAGTGCGTTTACATGTCGATAAGTGATTGGAGCGTTTGCAAAACATTTTATTTCGCATAATGCGTCTAAATTTATCAGAAAGCAACTTATGTGATATTCTAATAACAATGTTTATATGACTATTAACCATAATAAGAGAGTAATGACCATTTTACAATTTATATATCACATTAATATGTAACTGCAATAGAGCAATTGTTTGTGATAGAAACCTAGGCATTAGGTCGGGGAATTTTTATCGTGATGACGTGCACGCCACTTTGTTTGGCGTTGACTATACTGTTCTGTGTCAGCGTCACCGCTCTCCTGTTGTCAGGCTATGTTTCCTTCCTAAATTGTAGGAAATTTCAGACCATATAACAGATGATATCAATCAAAAGCATGAACAATCTGGTGGAGTTAGATATTTATAACATAACCTCAGAATAAAGCGCTGACACGGAAAAGTCGAAAACTATGACAATCAAGGAGGCCATAAAGGCGTCTTACAATTGTAGGAACGACTGACGATACGGCCCTTAGAGTCATCTGTGAATGCACACATATATATATCTATCTTTCCTTATAAAGTCAGTTTGCTGTTCTCACTCATTTCTTTGAACGATTATCACAGAGTAGGGCTTAGCATATCCTGTTGTCTTCAGTATTATATCAAACGGTGGTGATTCTATATGTCTAGCATGTCCGTTTCCTCGATAGTAATATAAATAGATAGTTTATTGTCCGATTAGATCATGCTACATGATATAAATATACCATTTGCCACATGACGTATCCTGTAGGTTGTCCTTTGTGCAACAGCTTCCAGGTGTATGGTATGCTCAAACTATGACACTTGTGATAGCTTGGATTATGGCACCTTTCAAAGTGGTATATATTGCCGGATTCAACCACTGCGAGTGAGTCGAGTAATGAGAAACGACGGATTCTTGTTGGTGTGTCAAACTCGATCATGATGTATGCCAGCAGTAGTGTTACTGTGCGTGATCCGCTGATATAGAACTGAGTCGACAGAGGCCCTGCTGGCCCTGGTTGGAATCCCGCAAATTGATTTGAGGGCTCCATAGAAACGATGTAGAAGCCAGGTGAGAATCTAGCATCATGTCTTGACGGGGGGTGGGTTGTCTACCTTCAGGAGGAATTGTCCAAGCCATTTGCGCTTAGATGAGGTGATACAACTTCATTCTCATTTTCCCTTTTCCCTCTCTCATCTCCTTTTCACTCCTTTCCCTCTCCGTTCTTTCCTTCTACCTTCTACCTTTTTCTTTTCCTCTTCCTGTCCTTCTTTCCCTTGTTCTCATTTTTTTCTGCAAGTCTGAAGCCTGTAATGGTACCGTTGCCCCCCTCCCAACCCAGATCCGTACCTGGTGGAAGCTAAAAATGATGAAAGGGAGTATGCATGCAGCGAAGATGGGATATGACTAGACATGAAGCCTGGACTAGAAAATTGATTCCAGACATTAAGGCCTGGATTGGCAGAGCAGCTATGCAGATTTCTATACTGCACACTACCATATGGGACATGGATTTTTTGGAAGCGACCTAAGCCGGATAGGAAATAAAGAGTACGCAAACTGCCCGTATTGTTTTGACAAGGAGGATACTTCTGAGCATGCACTAGAATGCACTTGATAGGACAACCATCAGAGACAGCTGGTAGAGAATCTCACACTTTGGACTGGAAAGACCGACAGAAAGCATCTACCAAGCTTTTCTGCCCGAGCGTGGCTATACAAGTTTCCCCTGGCAAAAAGTCAACTTACCCCTGAACAACCTCTCCTCTCCTATTGGGATACAACTCTGGATGCTGACCATAGCGCAGGTACACCACCAGCTGCTGCTCAGCTCGCGTATCGAAGCTGAAGTACGTTTGGTCGGTGAAGTTTTCCACATGAAAAAGCACCTTTACGAAGGAGGTCTCCGACATGAAGGTTTGTGGTTGCTCACTTTCTCCGCAGAACATTCCCGGCTCTTTTCGATTGGACACGTCTGTTTTTGCATTGCCGTCCACTATCTGCAAGAGAAGACACTTTGTTACATGGTGGCTACAATTAACAAGCAATATGTAACGAACAAGAGAGGCGCTCCCATTATGACAAAATGTATCGCACAAACAATTAGATCTTTTAGATCGACAGGGAAGAATTAGACCTAATACTGTATTGCTTATTTTTTACATCATATAATGGCAAAAAATGATATTTAAGGAGATCCCATTTTTTAACTCAAAAAATTAATTTTGTTTGATTTCGATAAAATGATCCGTTGTTTGACAAAAAATATTTTTTATCAGTCAAGTTTCATCACTTTTGATACCGGATTTATTACATCGGTTCGGTCACTGGAAATATAGTAATTTTACTGGTAATAGATCCGTAAACAATGGGTATGTCTGATGCAATGCTGTCGCTCATGAATTCATATTTGAGGGATAGAAGGTTATTTGTCGAATATGGTGGTCATAGGTCGAGTTACTATCGGGCCACGTCCGGGGTACCTCTAGGGTCAAATCTAGGTCCATTATTGTTTTTGATATTTATTTTGAACTGAAGTGTTTCCATTTGTTTTTCGCTGATGACCTTAAAATCTGCACGTCAGTCAAGACAGTCGATTATCGCGTCATGTTGCAAGATGACTTAGCTCTAATTTCGTCATGGTGTTCACGAAACTGTCTCATTCTGAATGTTTCGAAATGTAAAGTTAAGACTTATACAAGAAAGATTAACTATTTAACTTATGATAATTATAACATCAATGGTGAGGTTATATACAGATGCACCTCTTATATAGACCTAGGAGTCATTTTTGATACCAAGCTACCGTTTACTGAGCATATACTCAATATCTCGTCGGCTGCCACTCGACTACTTGGTTTCTGTATCAGAAACTGGAAGGGTTTCTCCAATGTTGATACATTAATGACTTTATTTTTTACTTTTGTCAGGAGCAAGTTGGAGTATGCGACTCTGATCTGGTCTCCTATATACCAAAATTCTGTCGTGATCCTTGAGGCCATTCAACGTAAAGCTTTAAAGTATTTTCACCTTAAATGCACAGGTTCTTATTCAGAAAGAGGTTGTGACCATAGTGCCCTATTAGAGTTTTTCAATTTGAATTCACTGTCAACAAGACGAAACATATTTGCTTTGTCGTTTTTGTATGGGCTCATTCACAATAAAATTGACTGTCAAAATTTACTTGAAAAAATATGTTTCCGCGTTCCAAGGCTAGGGAGTCGACAACAAACGGCATTCTATTGTCAAGCTGGCCGTACAAATGTTATGAAAAAATCGCCAATTAATCTCATGTGCTGCGTCATGAACAGTGTTACTGAATCGTGTGATATTTAGAGTGACAGTTGTGCATCCAATATTAACTGCTATAGATCATCCAATCTTATTTAGAATGTGTGATACTATAGATTTAAGTCCAAGAACCATGTCTCTTTAATTGTTATTGTTTTCAGCATTTCCTGTAATTGGGTTTCACCTGTTGGAAATAAATAAATAAATAAAAAATAAAAATAAACCTGAAAACCACAGGATTCTGATGATTATGGTCTATAAACGTCGTTCCTAAAAATACATGAAAATTCAAGTTGATCGCAGTTATGAAATATCTGCTATATCAAGTATTATAGAATATATGTATTTAAACCTTTTTTTAACATTTTTTCTTTATTTTAGCACTTGATTGTTTTTTTGGACCCCAAAGTCTGCAATTTTAGCATTTTCGAATATATGTGCATGGCATGCTGATAGGTATCGATTTGCTTTAACCCTTGTTTTTGTTGTGAGCGCAGTAGAGCAATACATTCATTTTTACATACGTTTCGTACCTTCTGTGTTTTCTCACATATTAGCAGTAGACTTCACGCTCATATTCTATAAGTGAGCTAAATATTCGAAAAGCGATAAATACTTTGGTTAAAGATGCCAAACTTTGGGCTTTCAACAACAATCAACTCCTGAAATAAAAAGAACAATTTGGATGGTAATTCAAAATACACATCTTCTGAAATGTTTAAATACAAAACTAGCTTATAGCCACTTACCCATTTCAGGTCAATCAGCTGTTCTAGGTTTTTAAACCTTTTGGGGATTGCCTGCACTATGAATCGATAAGTACAGTATTTAAATAAGTCTGTTTTCTCAAAATACGTCTCATTTTTTCAAAATGAGGCAATAACAGATTTTTTCTAGTTAAAAGGTATTTAACAAAGATTGTAAAAAACTTAACCCGTCATGACGATGTAAATGAGCTGATAATTTTCTTTCATGGACAACATTATGTGCGGTTCAACTGGTTACTAGTCTATCAACATTTCATTCAATTATATTAGACACCCTGTGTAGATCGCACTTTTTTATACTGAAGCAGCCACGCAGGCAGAAGCCTAAATACCAGGGCACCGCGACTATTATGAGGATCCTAAAGAAATTTTGTTAATCCGATTTTTTAACTGCTCAAGGTTTGTAGAACTGGGAAAAGCGTCCTGTTCTGGATGTAAGAAGACGGCGTCATGGAGTAGAGTTCTGAGGAGCAAAGCCCGTTGGTGTAGCGGTAGAAGAGCCCTAGATGGTATACGGCTCGTTGGTGTGAAAGGGTCTCGAGACTGTCTGTTAGAGAAGATATCTGTCGGATAGCCCTCCTCTCGGCAGCATCGAGCATAAATAGCATTGCCATGGCCCCACTCAGTAGGGTCAAAATCTCTCGCGCGATTATTCAAGGATGATCCCGGATCCGTACTGTTTCAAGATGAACTGTATACAATTTGAGATTACTACAATATAGTAATGAGAAATCTAAAAGATAAGCATATCTGTGCCACCATAAAAGGCACTAAGAAATATTTTTCAAATCAACGTTTCCAAAATCACTCGTAAAGTATGTCTCATAAGATAGATTACACAAAGGAGCAGGATAGCTTACAGTTCAATTACATTTTATCATGTTGTTCAAAGCAACTGTCGAAAGAATGTCTCAAGCGATCGTTCTGGATATCTAATTCTGCAGGAGGCATTATTTTGATGTCTTCGTATGAACCGAGATTCGGAGAATTCTGCGAATAAAAGCACACCCTTCAATATACAATATACAGTCTGTTATTTGTCTCATACTCCTCCTTAGATGCTAAAAGCAGTTGTCAAATTTCATTACTCCCTCTCGAATGAACCTCCGCTGCGCCATGTCAGCATTTTCCTACGCTTCTTGAAAATCCTCTGCATTCAGGACCGTAACTTGTTAGGAGGGAGTTAAATATGTAAATTCGTATGTAGATTTTGAAAGTATATATAGACTACTAGAAACGAGGGTAGAAATCATGTGGAATGAAAAACATATACAGCCGTCTTTGCATTAAGTCAGTCATAAAGTCCAAGTTCTTGGTCAAAGTGGAAATCACTTGCAGACGTCTCTCCTGAATTACTACTTCTGAAGTGCTGTCATTTCCGAGATTGTGGATAAAACTTATTCATGGTTCGACTGAACCTTCGGCATCCGCACCACATTGAGACAAAAATATGCGTTCGGTCACATACTTGGTCTTCGTCTAAGTGCCGAATATTTCATAAATTCTCTGCTTGCCACATATTTTGCGAAAATATTGCGCAGCGTGAATTCAGAAACAATTGAAATAGCTCTCAAAAAATAACAAGGATCGTTAGCATATATAATATAGGTTTTTAGTCAATTGCTCCTTGTCGTAACCGATTAGGTGCTCTTACTTATAATACGTATTTCCTAGCTAGTTAGTTTAGCGATGTAGACATTTCGTCAGATAATCAATCCTGGACAAATATAGGTAGACAGAAAGGCTAGTTTACTATGTGGTGTTAGTTGCTACTATTTTTTGGCTTTGAACTTTGTGCATACCTTTACATATTAGTTATCGTAAAATATTCACACAGGGCTAGTTTGTTTTAAAAATTATATAATTTAATAATATAATTTTGAAAATGATTCACGGAATCAGGTGTTTCATAAGTAGATCTGTGAAATATATAGCTGTAAATTTCTATCTCAAATGTCTTTTTGATTGTAATTGCCTTTAAGAATTGCATAGTTTTTATCAATAGAGCCGTACATGCACCATAAAACGAAGTAACTTTTAGAGATTCCCATTTTGTTTTCTAAAAATTCTCCGAATTCTATAATTTTTTGTTTTGTCGCTATATTATACTAATTTCTCCCGAACCGTCGGCCGAATCACATGCAATATGTCTAACGTCGCATTCACACATCGGAACCAACATTGGAGCTAAGGTTGCCGTCACCATTGTATGATATGCTATCATTTAGCGGTAGCGTTGGCCAACCTCGGTCGATACGCATTGGTTTAGCGTTCTCACATTGGTGTTGGCCTACGATGGAATAATATGTGAATATGACATAACAGCAACAAAATCGCACCGTATCTCAAAAATTGGTTATTAACAATAATTTATTTTCCTTGGACAAACAAAGTTTGTATAAGAATCGTCAAAAGAGCAGCTATATATAGAGATATAAAACAAATAATAAACAACATTTACACACTGATAAACTTACAGTCAATGTAAAAAAGTTTATGTATTTATGTGATTTATTTCCTACTGTAAATTTAGTAAAGTTGACGTGTATATTATTACTCTGCCGCGTGGCAACTGTGTGTCTTTGCTGAGAGTAAATTTGGTCTTGTTCCAAAATATGTGTACCGCTAACTCGTGAATCGCCAGCGCAGGTATCGTTAGGATTTCATATTTTTTTTAAAATTTCTCTCAACTTACCCGCGCACTAAAAATATGTTGTGGCATACTAGAGCAGAACCAAAAGCAAATACCATATCTGAGTCTTACCTCCACAAGACCGTAGTATATTTCGACCAGCTGACTTTCAGAGATAACCAAACTTAAACAATCAAGAGAGAGTTGAGTTGCGAAACCAGGTAGTCACAATGTACTGTGATATTTAACTTGTAGAAAGATTCCCATGTTTAATGTCAGGATACTTTTCTTCTTTTGTAGGTTATGAAATCTGATTAAATTAGTCTTGTCAGTCTTCAAAAACAACAGATTGGATATAATACTTACTATAATTGCCGTCACCGTTCTTGGCGGGTCAAAGTAAGACTACCGGTATCCCTTTGCATATCTCCATTTCCCTCATACATAGACCTACATCTGTATTTGTATCTGTGCCCTTGAATGATATTTGTCAGAGTGACAACTTGCTTGACATCGGCGTGCAATTCGAGTTGTCCTATTATCAATCTTCTAAATAAAACTGTACGAGTACAATGCCCGGAAATACGATCAGTGGAGAAGGCCGACGCGACGGTTCGTACAAAATTTATTGGAGTATTTCCAGGAAGACAATGAAAATAGAGGTTCCCTGTTACCCACTTCATGCGTACTGGAGAGAGTAGCAGAGGCGCTGAATATTAGTCTGCGCAGTGTTCCGCCCATGGTACGGAGACTCGATCTGTTTACTTATTTCATGTCGCGTTGATGACGGTGACTACAACTATATGACTGTAGTAAGTCTTGGTACTGCTGAACTTTTGAGCATTTGTATGTTTGTTTCCTTCCACGAAATACAACATCACAGAAGCATGGGTCAATACTTTAATGAAATGAAAATGAAATTTATATAAATTATGACCAAAGGCAAGTAATACCTTGAGACTGGAATGTCAACCACCTAGCTGCAAAGTCCCTCTGAAAGGCTATAGGAGCAAAGTTTGCAAAGGAGCGCGGCTGACAGAAAGCCTTGACAATAACAATGACCGCGAAAATCACCAAAATAATAAGATTTATTTGCAGCTATAAAAACATGGGAAAGACATGAATGAAGGGTACAGTAGCATACAGAAACAGCTGTAAAAAGGTACGAGTAAGCATTCTATGACTGATCAGAGTATTAGCTCCATCACTATAAAACATCAAGAATGGCACACAGTAATAATTATAAGCAGGGGACATATAATATAAGAAAAACTATGATAGCAAAGATCAAGATCCAAGGGAAAATCTAAAGTTATCTAACTATTTTAAATTAGAAGTTTAAGTTAATGCACAACACAGAAGAAACAAAGGAAATGACCTGAGGAGCTTAACTGCAACTGCGTGACGTAAGAAATAGTAGTATCTGGTTGTCCCCTGTATTTTTTCAATCGAAACTGTAACAGAAGATTGCACCCAAAAAGATCTCATAAACATAAAAAAAAGAATAATGTAACACCGGAAACCTAATTTGTGGGTTTCAAATTGATAGGACTCCATTATGTGGCCGCTAGATCAAACCACATTTCATTTGTGAACGTCATTCCATCGTTCAAGTCTTTGTCAAGAAAAATATTTTCTAACTACCTCTTTGGCGTCTTTGCTTTCTGTGGTCCCCAGGCCCTGATAATCGATATTGCCACTTGGGGGTAGTTGATACGGCAACAACTGGTGTAACGCGGAAGACTTTTTCAGTTATTAATTCTGCTCATAACGTTTGTAACCACTCATCTTCCGAGCATTTTTGTCTCTTGTGCAATGGAGTTCTTTGTTTTCTTTACTTAGGAGATATTGTGGTCTCGCAGCTCTTACTGCCGATAAAGAAGGATGTAGTATTTTTGTTGAAAGTGCTGACTCATTTTACGGAGTTTGACTGAAGTTATTACATTTTGTGTTTCGTACGAGAGATGTTTCATTTTATATAACTATGATTTGTTTTACACTCAAGAATTTAAACACATTGGTGGAATATACATCCTCCATTGCCGATACCGTTTATCTACAATGGATCAATAGATAAAATATGTATAGTCAAAATAACGAAAGATGACTATTACGTCATACCATAAATTGTACTGAAGTAATCAATGGAGGTACGTCGATGATAAAATCACGATGTCATGAATTTATGTTGATGATATGATTTTGCGACATTACGAGTAGGTTATTTCATTGATTATTTTTATTTTCATTTTATTTCATGGTTTTAAGTGATACCTTAATAGTAACTTTAGTGGTGAGTTTTTGTTTTGAAAAAAACATTTATGAGTAGAATACACCTTAAGACATTAACACCAAAGACCAAACTATTATTCAAAACTAACCTAACCTGCTTTAACATAACCTAACCATTCATTTTTCAAATATGATCGATCATGCAACATGAAAACATCGGCTATCTTTGCTGGATACGTGCAAATTAGCAATATAGTTTGTTTAGACAATAAAATTGTGTTTGGGTCTGTTTAACATATTTGAAACTTAATTAAAAATATTCACAAGTCGCTGTCGTATGTGTCTACTACAGACTAAAATGATGACGTAATCGTCATCTTTCGTGATTTCGACTATCTAGCATTTTTATTGGGGCATCACTACAAAGCAAGTTAACCACTTTTATAAAGTAACTTACACTTATACTATTCGTATAGCATCTAGATAACTGGCCCCACTATTAATAGTGACATATGATAACAGTACAGAAATTGTTGTAGACTTCGACGTACTCTTTGGCAATGACTACCGCTCACACACACACACACATATATATATACGAGGAGGTACCCAAAAATAACCGGATTAGCATTGCAGTAACTTACACTTATACTATTCGTATAGCATCTAGATAACTGGCCCCACTATTAATAGTGACATATGATAACAGTACAGAAATTGTTGTAGACTTCGACGTACTCTTTGGCAATGACTACCGCTCACACACACATACACACACACACACACATATATATATATATATATATATGAGGAGGTACCCAAAAATAACCGGATTAGCATTGCAGTGGGCGGAGCTTGTATAGTACACATTTCTGCCCTTAGAGGCGTGCAGCGCAACTCATTACCAGTTCAGTGTCACCTGTGTTGTCGATATGGCTTGTTTCGTTCCTCTGTAGTCATTATTCCAGTGAGCAGCGTGCAGCTGTGAAATTTTACTTTCTCATTGGTAAAGATACTACTGAAACTGTTTTAAAGTTGAAAATAGTTTACAAAAATGATGCTATGGGAGAAACTCAGGTGTACGAGTGGTTTGCGCGATTTAAAAAGTGCAACATATCGATTGACGACATACCTCGCTCTGGACGACCATCAATTGCCTGAATCGACGAAAATGTTAAGAAAATTCGAGAGCTTGTGCGGTATTTGCAGCTTTTAAGACGATTGGGAAACAGTGATCGGCAAGAAAAGACCCGATTTGTGGCAGTCCGGAGACTGGTTTTTCCACCACGATGATGCACCTGCGCACACAGCCATCTCTGTTCGACAGTTTCTGGCTAAAAATGGCATGGTCTGCTGCCTCACGCACCTCATTCGCCTGACCTGGCTCCGTGTGACTTTTTCTTATTTCCACCGATGAAAAGGGGCATGACATTGAAGAGGTAAAAAAAACGAAGGAGGTGCTGTCAGACATTCCTATGGAAGACTTTTAAAAATGTTTCTAGCAGTGGAAGCACCGGTGGGACACGTGTATCAGTTTTAGTGGACAGTATTTTGAAGAAGATAAGGTTATTTTGTGAAAAAATTGAAAATAAATGGCTTTTAAGAAATAATTTCATTTTTTTGGGGTACCCCTCTCATATATATATATATATATATTGACTATGCTTTTAATGAAAAATCTCAAGATATTCCGGGGCATGTTTATAACCCTTTTATTGCTATTTTTGAACCCACTTTCTAGCCCAGAAATATCGTTACGATTTTCTGAATCACCCCGTACAAACGAATCTCGTATGTTGGTATTAGAGCAAGGATATTATATAGTGTATGCCAAAATTTGTTATTCCACGTAAAAGTCATATACATAAATTGTAGTTTAGTTTATCGCCCGTAAGAACAGTTGTAACAAATATTGTATAGTGGGTAAAGTGATACTTAAGAGCTAGGAATAACAGGTAACAAGAAAAGCAATAATATTTTACAACAATTGAAATAATATACTTTAACAACAAACAACGTAAACATAATTCAATTTTATTACTATAATATATATTATAATATAATGCTGGAATTTCGAAGATTTATGGCGGACGCCAAAATCGTTTGAATTATCAGCAATTTTTTGTTGTAGCTTGGTTTGAACCCAAGATATTTCAGAGTAGGGAGTGTATGTGTTACCGGTAATCTGTATTATGCGGTTTTCCATACAATACCTAGGTAATGTATAGAATTCCTAAAACGTGTAGGTAATGTCTGAAATATCATTTGTTTTATACTTTGCCTGGGTATTCTCTACAATACCGAATGGGCAGCCGGTAATGTATGTAAAAAACGAGAGCAAGGAACGGGTTGTACCTACTGTCAGGCAGGCAACAACCGTGTTGCGTACTTATAAGGAAAGAAAATTACATTATGTTACTTATAGCCAGAATAATTTTTAGTTTACACGTTAGTTTTACTGTGATTTTACTGTAGTAATAGAAAAGTGCTTTTTTGTTCCTTTTCATAAAACTTATTTTTAAGGAGCACTCTAATTGTTCATTTTGAAAAAGTTGATTTTAAATCATATAACTTGTTTCATTTGCCCATTACATTTTATAGGTATGCCAGTTCAATTTATTTTACACATTGCCGATGGAACAACAGGTACTCTATACACTCCCTACTAATTGTATTCATTACCTGGATAAAGTATGTAATGGATAATAATATTCATAATATTCCATACATTGTCTGGGCAACTCAGGTATTTTATACATTGCCTAGGTTTTGTATAGAATACCTGAATTGTACAGATTACCCGTAACATATGCATTAGATATCGTTGTGTCATTTTTTAGACTGGAATCCCAAATTGTTTTTATTAAGAAATTTTGCTAACTCGACCAGACTATTATTCAGCTTGATAGTCTTGGAGAACTCGAAAAAATACGTCAGCAGCTTTCAATCCCCTTTTCATTACACTAATAGGTAAATATTCTGAGCTCTTGTTATATGTGTTTTTTTTAAATTTTACGGGCAAAAATTTATTGCTCTGCATAGTTTCTCACATGTAGCTAGGTACAGTGTATCTATCTCGTATACAGCAATAATTCATGAAGATTAGAGATAGGGGGTTAAACTCATGAAGTGCGACTGAATTTAAAAGTGTTGACGATGAAGGTGGGGCTTACTCGTAAATACACTGTGCAGCAAATGATTTTCAGGTGCTGCATATATCGTGCCTCTCTCGTATGCGAACTGCACAGGAAACG